GCTGAATTGCACAAAACGCATGATCGCACCGGCTAGTCTGGTGCGCGTTGCCATTTATTTAATTATATAACGAATTTTTTGACGAATGAGTTGCGAATTTTTTCAACACATATACAAAGTTGTGGCTACTTTATGACCGTGTTGTGGACTGTCACATAAATGGTCTCAAGGTATAGCCATGTCCGCATGAGGAAGTAAAATTTTTTGGGAGGAACATATTGCTGCTAAGAGAAATTCATATAACGATTTCTGATAACCACGTGGAAAAAAACGCCTTTAGTTGGTTTTGGAAAAGCTGGCCTAGGCGCAGTAGGTACAGACTGGAGACAACAGACGGTAAGCTTGACACAGATACGTTTGATGTAACTCTTAGCTGTCTTCCAAAGGGATGGTCCCAGCAGTATCGGGGGCAGTCTGGATGGTGTAATATACTGAAACTTTGTATAATAATAACTTTTTCAGTTACCTATTTGATGAGAAAGTATCCATTTGAAAACAAGCTCCCAAATTTCGTCCGCGCACATCTGTTCTTATATCATTTTACTAGCGCAGGCATAAAGTAAGTCAATTTTTGCATAACTGTTCCGGTTTTTTTTGGCCAAATTACGGTATTTTCGTCAAATTTTCGTTGCGCTCTTTATTTTGTAGCTGTACGAGAAGTCAGTTTTTTTTTTAATTTTTCTTTATTTAACTTAGTTTATCTGTCCTAGTCCCCTGTAACTGGTAGCCGTTTTGGAGGGGCATAGGAGTATTGGTATTGCGTACTCTCAAATCACGAGCTGGATGGAGAGGAACAATTTTCTCCGGAGAAAAGAGCAGGGAAACGAAGGCCTGGATCACCAAAAAGTTGGACACGAAGCGGCGGAACTTCGGTCGCAGTGGCCTTTGGAAAGTTGCTAACTGTAGCGACGTTATAAAGCAGCACTTCGCCTAATAACACAATTAAAGTTTCAATTTGGTTACAGAACTAAATGGCCAAAAGATTACTGGTCGCGCGATTTCCGAGAAGCATATATGCCTCCTATTACTCGAGAGGATCCTAGTTTCCTTAATTTTCTACACGAAAACGGCTATGTCCTCAAGGTAATTCCCATTATTTGCCGTATATTTCCTTGTATGAAACTTGAAAAGGAAAATCTCCAACCTTCTACAGTTCTTTTAATTCATTTCCATGGTAAATTGGTATTGACATCTGTAGAGTGCTAGAAAAGCAAGCCCCCCTCGATCATGCAGCGACTTTTGTAAGAGCATCATCGATAATTTTGTCAGCGATTGGCTGCTGCTGGCAGAATCATTCAGCTTACTTCTGGATCCTTCCATTTTCAGATATACGGAAAAAACGAAGAAAGTTTTTACTTTTTTTAGTTACTGTGAAGGTTCAGTGCTTTTTTATTATTAATATTAGAACTGTTTAGAGTAATTTTTCAACTTTAAGT